AGGTAGTATCTATCTCTAAATATTAATCTATATTGTCCATCAAAATTTAATATTAAAATAATAGAATACATTTTTAGTGCTATTTAGGTATATTTACTTCACAGGAAAAGAAATAAAGGTAATATCTATCCCTTAATAGTAATCTATATTGTCCATCAAAAACTTATATTTTTAATAATATGAAATTATATTTATTTGAAAAAGGAGAAAAAGAAAGTTGATATCTATCCCTAAATAATAATCTATATTGTCCATCAAATTCTTTATTTTTAGTGATATTTAGTTATATTTATTTAAAAAGGAGAAAAAGAAAGTTAATATCTATATATTAACAATAGGGATAAACATTTAATCAAGTTGATAAATCTTATTTTACGACTTGCAGTTGATTTGAAATTTTTTTGAGTTGAGTACAGTCAAGTCAAATTTTTGAGTTTTTATTTGAATTTAATTGTAAATATTTATAATATTATGTTATTATTTTATTCAAATTTAACTATTTTTTTATGAATATATATATATATATAAAGTTACAGATTTTCTAACGTGGATGACTTGTGAAAGGACAGTGGGACATATGCTCCTTTATCACCCCCCATTGAAGTTGCAAGAAATTATTGCAGGTGCTTAAGCCATTTAGTGTACTGCTATGATAAAAATAAATAAATCATGTGAAAATTTAATTAATCATATCCATTTAATAATAATAAATTTATATATTAATCAAATGTTTAATTCTCTTTTGAAAAAAATATCCATGACATCATCTTAACAACAACAATTAAGGTGGTGTTTGGTTCGCTAGAATGTTTATGAGGGAATTGGAATCTGTGAAGGAATTAGAATCTGTCAAAAATTAGAATCTAATTCCATATTCTGTTTGGTTGGCAGGAAATGGAAATAGAATTGGAATCAAATTTCATATTCTGTTTGGTTCGCAGACTTGTCAGATGAATTTGATTTCAATAATGTAAAATGACAGAATTACCCTTCTTATTTTTTTTGTTTTATTTTAATTTATTTTACAACTTACCTGTAGTAATATATTATAAAAAATTAAAAAAATATTAAATTTTCATTTTATTGATTGATTATTCATTTCAATAAATTATAAAAATCATTCTAATAAACATCATAAGTTAAAATCATCACAATCAAAATATGTTAATAAGTTACCAAAAGATAGAGCAATATTTCGATATATTCCAATCGGAGTATATTAATTAGTTACCAAAAAATATACCAAAAACTATTTTTATTCAATATATTAATTAGAAACCCGACCCGACACGACACGAAATAATAAAAAATTATTTTTATTCAATAAAAACATTTACTTAATTGAAAAAAAAAATTATATATTGTAATTATTCCTAAATATATAAGGTAAAACTATATATTTTTTTCGGGTCAGGTCCAATTTTTCACCCTAAACCCGAACCCGACCCGACCCGAATATCACACTTAAAAAAACCCGACCCGACTCGACCCGAATATCACACTTAAAAACCTGACCCGACCCGAACAAAATAAAGTTTCACCCGACCCGAATATATGAATTAGAAATCCGACCCGACCCGACCCGAAATAATAAAAAATTATTTTTATTCAATAAAAACAGTTACTTAATTGAAAAAATTATATGTAGAGGGGTATTATTTTAATTATTCCTAAATATATAAGGTAAACTTATATATATTTTCAGGCCGGGTATTTTTCACCCTAAACCCAAACTCGACCCGACCCGAATATCATACTTAAAAAAACCGACCCGACCAAAATAAAGTTTCACCCGACCCGACCCGAAATAATAAAAAAATATTTTTATTTAATATATGAATAAGTTACCAAAAGATTGATGAGGGTAGTATGGTCAAATTTCAATTCCCTCCAACAAGGGAATTGAATTCCATCCATTTTTGGATGGAATTCACTTTCACTCATTTGATGGAAAGTTGAATCCATGAGGGATTCCAATTCCCTTGGAAAACTTGAACCAAACATGGGAAAGTGGTTAAATTGGATTCCAATTCCCACCAATTCCAAGGGATTCCAGTGAATCAAACGCCACTAGTGTTTTTAATTTAGAGCTATTAATAATACTCAAAAAGGTAAACTACATTATTAGTATTTAAACTATTACTTTTACTTTATTTTGATACACAAACTTTATTTTTTTAAATCATACCTAACATTTAATTTCAATTTCAATTTGATTCTCCACAGTTAAAAACTTAACGGTGATGTTAATATATCATCATAAGATAATACTATATCATCATTGAATTTTTTTAAAAAAAATATCACATCAATAGTTTTGTTAAGTTTTTAACGGCGGGAAACTGATGAAATTTAAACTAAACTTTAGATTTGATTTTGAAAAATAAAGTTTGGATACCAAAACAAAAGTAATAGTTTAAATATAAAAATTTAAATAATTGTTAAAATACTAAACATGTAGTTTACTCTATTATAATAATAATAATAAAAACACTACATTAAAGAAAAAAATTGAATATAAAAATTTAACATTATTAATCCTGCATGAACTAAGCAACATCAACAGTTAAGAGATTTGTTGTTATTCATTGATGTCCTTTTTTTTAGTATAATATATGCCAAATGACTTAGAGTATTTGAACAAATATTACCTTATATTCACCCCAAATTTATAAAAAAAAAGGTAAACTACAGATTTAGTATATAAACTATCACTTTTATTCTATTTAGTACCTAAACTTTCATTTGTTTCAAAAGCATACATAACGTTTACTATTTGTTTTATTTTAGTACATTGTCGTTAAAAACTTAACGGAATTGTTGCACGTGGCATTTTTATGGGTAAACTACTCCATTCATCTATCTTCTCATTGTTATTTGGCCCACTAAAGTTTAAAAATTTGTAATTTAACTACTCAACTTTCAAATTACTTTTGTTTTAATCACTCTAATTTATTTTATTAATATTTTTGTGACATGATATTTTTATTATTATTTTATTATTATATAATTAAAAATAAATTTAAAATTATACCAAAAACCCTAAACCACAAAATCACTCACCCTACGCCTCACTCTTATCGGCCTCTCCAACTTGTCCCTTCCTTTTTTTATTTTAATCATATATTAATAAAAATAATACTTAAAAGATGTCATGTCATAAACAATATTAATAAAATAAGACAGAGTGATTAAAATAGTAGTAGTTTGAAAGTTAAGTGGTTAAATTGGGAAAAATAAAACTTCAATGACCAAAATAAGAGTGAGAAGATAGTTGATTTTTTTAGTGGTGGTGTACTAAAAATAAAACAAAAGGAAAACATTAGATATGATTTTCAAACAAATGAAAGTCTATGTACTAAAACAAAATAAGAGTGATAGTTCAGGTACTAAATATGCAGTTTATCCAAAATATTAATTAATCCTGAAAACTGCCAACATAGGCGGTGTATCCTGGGATTAGTCAAGGCAAAAGACAGCCGCCGTCTGTACGTAGCTTAGGAATAACGTGGTAAATTGCTATATTCACGTGGCAAAAAGGCATACGCGTACACAAAAATTTTTGACACGCCATCAGAAAATTATCTGATGTCTGATGCCATAAAAGAAGTTCACATTTGGTTGCATTTGCGGTTGCTTGTTAAAGCAAAGTCCCAATGCCAAAATTAAAGGGTGAAGTACCTACATGCTCACTTAACTGTTAGGATTCTATCAATTTAGTCACCTTACAGAAATCTTTCAATTGGATAACCCAACTTAAGATACAGTCAAAGTAGTCACCTTCATTAATAGTCACTTCTATTAAATCTTCTAATAATATGGCACCTTCAATGAAACGATAGCACAAATAATTAGATAATAGATCATAAAATAAGTTAAAATTAGCTTGACCCTTATTCCCATATGTAATGGGGGCAAGGGGAGGTAGGATAGTAGGCTGCCCCCCAACGCCAGGTTAAGAGCAGCTTCCGTGGGAGATCTTCGAATTATGAAATGCCCTCCGTGGGACTCGATCTCAAGGTTAAGAACCTTGCGCTCTACCAATTGAGCTGGATGGTCATTTCAGATCATAAAATAAGTTACTTTATTAAATTTTATACAAATGTAAAAATATATAACTAAAAATATCTACAAATGTAAAAAATATATAACTAAAAATAACTTACTTTATTAAATATTATAGTGTTATACAAATATATTTTAATAATTTATTCTTTGAAAATTACTTTATTTGTGTATATTTTAATAATGCATTCATGTAATAATATTGCATTTTAAATACATTTTACGTTGTATTTATACTGTATCTTAATTTATTAAACATTTTGTATATTTATCATAGTGATTCGATCTTGATATATTGGTTTATTTTTATTATATTCAAGAAAGTATTTTTAATATTTTTTAAATTATTGATAATACATACATCTTACAAATACAATTACTCAAACTAGAGAATAATGTTCTATTTAATTATTGAGATCACTCAATAATTTTGTATTGATCAAATTTTTTGTCATATGATTTTTTTTCTTCAAATTTGATTAGATCATGTGTAATGTGTAGGGATTATTTAAGTTGACGAGTTTTATTTTATAACTCAAACTTTATTTGAATTTTTTGAGTTAAGTTGAGTTGTTGAAATTTTATTGAGTCGAGTTGCTCGAGTTTATATTTAAATTTAATTATATATTTATATTATTATGATATCATTTGATTCTAATTTAAATAATTTTCTATAATTGTATATGATATACGTATATTTTTTAAATATATTTATATGTAATATATATATTATACAAATTAAGCGACTAGACTTAACTTAATTCGAATTTAAAATTTATTTAATTTTATTTTTAATCACACCTAGTCTCGTGACATGACTAACTTTGACAAGCGTTGTATTGAACAGTAGAACAGTGCATGCGTCCCCTCCTCACCTCTCTGCTATAAATTCCTGGTCTCCTTTATTACTTGGTGTGATAAACTAATTAAATTGAACCAAGTTTTATCACAAAACATGGCTGTTAACATGACCTCCATTAAAACCTCATCAAATGGAGCTTGGCAAGGTGACAATCCCCTCGATTTCTCCTTCCCATTGTTAATTGCCCAAACCACTTTGATTCTTGCCTTCACCCGTTTCCTTGCTTTTCTTCTCAAACCCCTGCGCCAACCCAAAGTCATTGCTGAAATTCTCGTACGTATTTTATATTCAATTCTTCTTTGATTTGTATACCTTTGTTTTAGTATTCAAATTGATGATGATGACGACCAAGATGATGATTGGTTCTATGATTTTCAGGGTGGAATTCTGCTTGGGCCATCGGCTTTAGGTCGAAACGAAGACTATTTAAATCGGATATTCCCGTCATGGAGTATGCCGGTGCTGGAATCAGTGGCCAGCATGGGTCTTCTTTTCTTCCTTTTCCTTGTAGGTCTCGAGCTGGATTTAACCTCCATTCGTCGGACAGGAAGGAAGGCCTTTGGCATAGCATTATCCGGCATATCCATCCCCTTCATCTCCGGAATAGGCGTCGCTTTTGTTATACGAAAAACCGTTGACGGAGCTGACAAAGTTGGGTTTGGCCAGTTCCTGGTCTTCATGGGAGTAGCACTCTCCATCACTGCTTTCCCCGTACTAGCCCGAATCTTAGCGGAGCTCAAACTCTTAACGACTCCAGTCGGGGAAATCGCCATGGCCGCCGCGGCATTCAACGACATGGTTGCATGGATTTTATTAGCCCTCGCCGTTGCTTTAGCCGGCGACGGCCCTGGTGAACACAAAAGCCCCTTGATATCAGTCTGGGTCCTCCTCTCGGGCGTCGCTTTCGTCACTTTCATGATGATAGTAATCCGACCCGCCATGAAATGGGTCGCCCGCCGATGCTCGACGGAACGAGACGTCGTCGACGAGGCTTATATTTGTTTAACGTTAACCGGTGTAATGATATCCGGCTTCATCACCGACCTCATCGGGATCCACTCCATCTTCGGTGCCTTCATTTTTGGGTTAACGATTCCTAAAGAAGGAGAATTCGCAGAGAGATTGATAGAGAGGATTGAAGATTTCGTGTCGGGTCTTCTCCTCCCGCTTTACTTCGCGTCCAGTGGGCTGAAAACCAACGTGGCTCAGATTAGCGGCGGAAGGGCTTGGGGCTTAGTGGTGCTGGTTATAACGACGGCCTGCGCCGGCAAAATCATCGGGACGTTTACGGTGGCTCTGATGTTGGGTATGGCGGTGAGGGAGTCGTTGGCGCTTGGCTTCTTGATGAATACTAAAGGATTGGTTGAACTCATTGTTCTCAACATTGGCAAGGAGAAGAAGGTTAGTTTGCACCATTTCTTTATTCACTGCTAATAATCCTAATTTTATTTTTATATTTTAAATTTTTAAATTTTTTTATTTTGTAATATTAACCGATTACTAAATAAAGTATAGACGAATAATAAAATTCCTTTTAACTTTAATTTCTCGAGTAGAGTAGAAAACCAAACCATAATTTAAAGCCCATGCAACTGGGAGTTCCAATGATAATGTTTAGAATTTTGAGATTTCCTTGCCTCCCTTATTGACAACCTTGCATGTCGGCCGTAGCCTTTTTAGACTAACACATTGCTGATATTTCAAACTAAATAATTTGCATAATACTTTAATATTTAATAAAAATATTTATTTTAATCTTCATTTTTATTAAAATATTTTAACTTTTTTATTTAATTTTTAATTAAATAAAAATTCTAATTAATTAACAATAAGTATTTATTGTTAATGAGATATATATTATATTATCATTTATTTACACGTGACATGTCAACACTTATATATATATATAATGTCACATCATTATTTTAGACATAAAATTTATCATGTCAACAATATATAATGAATCATTAATTAATTAATAATTTTTATTCAATCAAGAATTATTTTATTCTAAAATAAGATGTTAGATTAAAATATTTAAAAAAAATAAGAATTAAAGTAATTATTTAATAAAATGTTAAAAAAAATCTCATAATTTTACCTAAACTATATCAGTAAATCTTACAAACGTGACAGAGCATCTATATATATTTATCCACTTCATTGATTTTTTTCTCTTCAAATTTATTTATTCACCCATATATTTTTATGTAATGTTTAAATTATTTTGAGTGTTGAATAAGTTAATGATACTGTAGGTACTGAATGATGAGGTCTTCGCTATACTAGTCCTCATGGCACTCTTCACCACCTTCATCACAACCCCATCCGTCATGGCCGTCTACAAACCGGCCCGCCGTTCCTCCGCCATTACACACCGGAAATTACGTGATTTGACCAACCCCAACGGCACAAAAGATGAGCTCAGGATCCTTGCTTGCCTCTATGGCCTTGACAACGTACCCTCGATCATCACCCTCATTGAGTCAACTCGAAGTACAAAAAAATCCCAACTCAATCTCTTCATCATGCACCTCGTTGAACTCACTGAACGCTCTTCTTCAATCATCATGGTCCATCGGGCTCGAAGGAACGGGCTTCCTTTCATTAACAGGCTTCGTAGGGGCGAGTGGCACGACCGAGTTGCTGGAGCTTTCCAAGCCTACAGTCAACTCGGTCGTGTCTCGGTCAGACCCACCACCGCCATCTCTGCGTTGTCCACCATGCATGAGGATATTTGTCACGTCGCGGAGACCAAGAGGGTGACAATGATCGTCTTGCCCTTCCACAAACAACACCGGAGGGGAGAGGGTGACCAGGAGACGATCGAAAATGTTGGCCACGGGTGGCAATTGGTGAACCAAAGGGTCCTGAAAGACGCACCGTGCTCGGTGGCGGTGCTGGTGGACCGTGGGTTCGGGAACCCTCGCCACTATACTGCCACTTCGACTCAAAGTGTTTGCATTTTGTTCTTCGGTGGAGCCGACGACCGTGAGGCTTTGGAGTTAGGTGGTCGAATGGCTGAGCACCCGGCGGTTAGAGTGGCCGTGGTAAGGTTCGTTGAAGAAGAAGGGTGTGAAAGAAATGGGGCAATATTGAAACCGGAAAAAGAAAAGGCAAGTCCCTTAACTCGTAAAATTATGACTCTGGTCCATATAATATATACTTTCATTTAAATCCTAAAAGAAAATATTATTTTCTTTAAAAGTTTTTATTTTTGAGTTGTTATATCTGTAGTGTATGTGTATGTTGTCAATAACTAATAAAGATTTTAAATATATTTATTATTTTATAATCATTTCAAACTATTAAAAAAATTGTATATTTGTTAATTGGATTATGCTAACGATGTTAGGTTTTGTTATTAACACAGGAATTAGACGAGGCTGCAATGGCGGAATTCAGGAGAAAACGGGATGGAATGGTTGAGTACAAAGAGAAGACAACAAGTAACCTTGTTGAGGATGTATTAGGACTTGGGCAATGTGGGGATTATAATCTTATAGTTGTGGGGAAAGGGAGGTTTCCATCACCGATGACGGCAGAATTAGCGGACCACCAACCCGAGCACCCGGAATTAGGGCATATCGGAGACTTGTTGGCCTCATCAGATCACAGTATCTTGTCGTCGGTGCTCGTAATTCAACAGCACGATTCGGCACGAACGGAGGAGACCTTAACCAAAGTTGTTCGGAATGATTGTGACAAGCTTAAAGGCGATGGGAACGCAGGCGTGGGAGAGATTTCAAAGGCTGTGTAGTTACAAATGACATGGTAAAGGTATGTAGTATATATACAACAATTGTATAATGTCATTATTAAAGAATAAGATTTATCGATTGAGTATAATTTGATTGATATAAAATAATATTAAATTAAATCTCTTTTAACAATTATTATTTTCTAGTTAATAGATAATTTTTTTGAATAATGTAAATATTGTATAGAATTATTAAAAAATAGAATTTAATAATATTAATATCTCCAAATTACCGGAATAGTATTATATTCTTTGTTCAAGTGAGCATCAAGAATTGATGTCCGGCACCCTTCAAAGAAGAAATAAAAGATGTTAAATCATACTCCCTGCGTCCTATATTTTATGCTTCATATGGATTATAAACATAATTTTCGGAGATATATTTAATCAAGGGAAATAATAAAATTATCTTTAAAAGGTGATTAATAGATTTGATATATTTATTTTGATAGATATAAAATGGTGAGACATATAAAAATAAAAATAAAAACAAAATATAAATATAAATATTTTTATTTATTAATTTTTAAGTAACACATTTTAAATAAGATAATTTTAAAAACTAAAAAACACAGACATAATAGAGGGGACTAGTGGGATCATTATTAAGGATTTGATTATCTGTAGTAGTTGGAGTATGTAATTATTACTATTTGATAATTTTATTTTTGTACTATTTCTATAAAAGAGATATTTTATATTATTTGATATATATTTTCTAGTTTTATTTTTCATTCTTGAATAAGGTTTTGACAAAAAAACAACACAAACAAATTTCACTTACTTCAATTATACAAAATTTGAAAGGTTGTTTTAATTTAGAGGAGACGAACACTTTTGAGATTATATCAATACAGATGAAATTATTTTTAAAATAATGATTTCTATCGTGATACAATAAATTATTTTATTCTCCATTATTTAATTATTGCTTATCAGTCAATGCTAACGATAATATTTCACAACAATATTAGTTTACTAACACGAACTTATTAACAATCAAATGTTATGACAATTTAATTTTAATATGATAGTTTGACATTTGCGTGGAAGATAAAAAGTTAATTTTTTAATTCATTTCATACCTTTTTTTCATTAAAGTTAAGGTTCTTTTTACTTATTTTTATTTATCATCGAAAATTATTATTATTTTGTAATTTTTTCCAATATCGTAAATATTATGAATTTGTCTCATACTCTTCTACTACATTTTTCAGTTTAAAATTTCTTAAATCTCTTTAAAACACACAAAATTACAACAACAAAAAACCATCACTTTTAAGGTTTTAGGAGACTCCGATTGAGGTGTTGGTGGCCTTTGTCAAGAAAAATAAAAAACATACCTGTTAGCTATTCTCATCGGACACCATAGAAGGAGATCAGTGTATTAATATATCAAATCTTTAGATAAATTTTCATTGATTTCAAACGAATTTCAAGAAAGATCAATCTTAAATATTAAAAAATAATAGTGAAATGAGAATATTTTAATATTGATTTTATTGTAAATAACGACTAATGATAGACAATGATTGACAATCAACGACATCCTAATAGATTAATTCCTAAAATTGAACTGCTATAAAGTTAATGATAAAATTGATAAATTAATTAAAGAATATAATCTTAAAATATTTTTTTTTGAGTATTAATATACCAACATCAAAAATATAACTTTTTGGTCACGCCATTTAAAATCTAATGATTTAAGAATACATTCATGCATATATAAAATTAAGTATTAATATTAAAATCATATTAATTTATAATTTAATAACATTTTCAATAGAAATTTTAAAAAAAAGTCAATATAATATTTTGTATAATTTATCTTTTAATATAGGCTTAATGTTCAAATAAGTGCCCAAACTATGCCTTTTTAGCCAAATAAGTTCCTACGGTTTTTTATCCATCCGGGTGCCTAACGTTACAAACGTTATCATTTTAGGTGCACACATCGACAACGTCGTTAGTTTTTCCCGTTAAGTGCCACATGTCAACACCTGATAATTTTGAAATTTATTTTTTTATAAAAATATTAAAAATATTATTATGTTTATAATAAAAAATCTCAACTTTTCTTATATTATAAAATAGCCCCAAAATATTAAATCCTAACCTATATCCGCCGCCAGCGCCTTCTCCGGCCACCACCATCATTTTCGACGTAGTCCTTGACATCATTCTAGTTATATGTCATCGTAGTTATGGTCGATTCATAGTCGAAATCACTTGGGATCACGATTTTCATCCTAGGGTTCGTGAGATTTAAAACGTCGATTTGTGGTCGATTGATCGTCAACCGGTCACGATTTCATAGGGGTTATGGTCGCCGAGGGGAGGGGAGGGGAGGTTGGGTGGAGCTTCTTCGACAGTAAAGGGTAGGGATGCACAAAGTCGCATTTAAATTCGATCCGGTTTTTTCACGTAGCCAAAAAATCAGATTTTAAAAAAACCGGTTCGGATCCTAACCGGTTTGGAGGGCCGGATGGTGTAACCGGTTTCGATTTGAAAAAAAACCGATTTTTATTCAGGTAAAAAAATCGGTCGTCCAATTTTTTCCAAAACCGATTATATTAACAGCTAGTTTTTAAACCCCAGACCGGATTTTTTGGGATAAAAAACGGATTTTATCAACAAAAAAAAATTTAAACCGATTTTTAATCTGGTAAAAAAACCGTTCGTCCAATTTTTTCCCAAACCAGTTATACTATCCGGTTTTAAAATATTCGATCTGATTTAAAAAAACCGGTTTTTCCCAAATCCGGTTTCGGATATTTTTTGTGCAAAATCGGATATTCGGATTTTTTGTGCACTCTAGTAAAGGGAGACTATCAACGTGAGTTTAGGGGTTGAAATGAAAGTTTTCAAAGTTTAGGTGTTTTTTCAAAATTTATGTTTTTTTCTTTTTTAAAAATATATAATTTTATTTTTTAAAATTTTAGATAAATTTTTTAAAATTACCAGGTGTTGAAAAGTGTCACTTAACGGGGAAAACTAACGGTGTTGACGACCTGGGCACCTAAAAGGGTAACGTTTGTAACGTTAGGCACCCGGATGGACAAAAATAAACCGTAGACACTTATTTGGCACAGAAAGGATAGTTTGGGCACTTATCTGGGAATTAAGCCTTTAATATATGATATGGTTGACCACGTGGAAAGAATATATGATTTCAAAATCTTCCCTTTTTGAATATATGATTTCTTTTATTTTTGGGTTAGCCGACTAAAGGACGATAGAGATTCCTGAAACCCAAGAAGATCATTGGACACTGCTCACACTTCCGTTTTATTAAGGATTAATATAAAAATAAATGTCTAAATTATACTTAAAATTAATTTTTAGTGTTTAAAGAATTTTTTATTAAAAATAGGTGTCTAAAATTTTTTCTGTTACACCTTTAGATGTCCGTTAAAAAATCTTTAATTGACACGTGTCACGTCTAGATTTAAAAAAAATAATAATAATATGCACCTAAAAGTGTAACGGAAAAAACTTTAAACACCTATTTTAACGAAAAATTCTTTAAGCACTAAAACGATTTTTGAGACATTCTTTAGTCACTTATTTTTTATTAAGTCCTTTTATTAAATATAATTTGTATGCATTGTTAAATATAATTAAATATATTAAAATACAATAAAATTTATATATTTCTTTTATTGAAAAAAAGTAAAATTACATCATTGTACCTTGTACTTAAAAAAATCAATGTGACCTCATATTATTTTTTTTCTCAATATGACCCTCCAACTCAGAAAATAAACACAATGTATCCATTTGACGAACGTTTTCAATCATTAAACTTTACAACAATGACGTGACAGTTTATTATGTTGATATGACAGATGACTGTAATACCCTAATTTTGTCTGGGTGCTTAGAGTCAGACTTGGGTGATCGAAGATTGAATTGGAGTTATTCCTCTTGAGAAATGGATTAACTGGCACATGCCTCAATTGATTTGAATTCAGTTGAATGGTCGAATTGAAGTTAGTTTGAACTAAAAGAGGGAATTCGAATTGTCTTAACGCGATGATTGGTTGGTGTCAAAATCCCAAAACCCAAACATTACAACCCACATAATCATTAATCCTTTACACAATCCATCAAGCCCAACATTACCATCGACCCAAATTCAATATCCATTACATTAAAACCATTTAACCATTGACCCATACAAATTAACCCTGGCCCAAATTCGTTTGACCCAAATGATTAGGGTTACCAGAAATCCTAACTAGAGGGTTCTGTAGCTTCAGCCGCCGCATTCTCTTCCAACGTGAGTAGCATGATCATGGTCCCCATTCCAGCAAAGACCCCTCACACCCGATCACCATTTCCTCGTGACCAGCGGTCGCAAGCAGCCCATCGATCTTCACACGTGATGCGTTAACAAACCCAGGTTTGGTCCCCACATGCTCGAATGCTCCTACCAAAATGCTCTCCTGCCAAAACGGTTATGACAGAAGCGACATAGCACACGGATTCGAGCTCTCCTCATCGCCAGCATCATATGTAGACAAATAAACAAAAATCAATTTGTATTTTTTTTCATTTGTTTTGAAAATGTAATAGGGGTTCTGTAAAACCCCCAGAAAAACACGATGTAATGGATCCTTATATCCCACAATTCAAAAGAAATATAAGCAGAGAACATATTTCAGATTTTTTTTTTTACTTTCCTTTAACATTTCTGGCAACTCATTTTTCAGTTCTTTTTCAAGTTTTTTTTTTTAAACAAAAAGGATAAGGAAGAGGGATCAATCGGGTTTACTTGAGACGATTAGGCTTCCTTCGGGGTCTATAACGTTCATGTGAGGCCTCCGTACGTAGATCTCACCAAGTTAAGTTATTGGGTCTGGAGTAGACATGCACAGAAGCCGGATTTCAATCCGATCCGGATCGGTTTTTATCTAATCCGGTTTTTTTCCATAGACAACAAACCGGTTTATAAAATAACCGGTTCGGATTCTAACCGGTTTGGAGGGCCAGATATCCTAATCAGTGAAACCGGTTTCGGTTTGAAAAAAA